CTCGACGAACTTGGTGAGTGGTGCAGACCTACAGGATGCGGGGGTTCACCAGTTCACTCCTGCGAGTCAGCGGGTGACCCACTGCACGGACGCACGCACAGGCCGGCACCTGGCCACGTTCTCGCGTCGGCCGGGGTCGAGCCTCTACACCCTGACCACTGAGTCTCCTCCTGTCCCCGCGTCCGGTCAGGTAGCAGCGTCGGGTCAGGTGTTTGCTGCTGCGTCCAGGTCTGGTCCTGAGTCTGCCCCCTGTACTTGTCGCCTCCTGTCTCACGAGACTCTCCTGTGGCACCACCGTCTTGGCCACCCCTCCTTGCCCCGTCTTCGGAGCATGGCTTCCCGTGTCCTTTTCTCTGGTCTTCCCCAGTCTCTCCCTCCTCTCCCCTCCGGGCCAGGACCTTCCTGTGTCCCTTGTGTCGAGGGTCGCCTCCGGGCTACTCCTCACTCCTCCCACTTCCCCCCGACAGAGGCTCCCCTGCAGACGCTTCACATGGATGTGTGGGGCCCAGCCCCCGTCCGTGGGCAGGATTACGAGCGCTACTTCCTGTTGGTGGTTGACGACTACTCGCGTTACACCACAGTCCTCCCCTTGCGCAGCTAGGGTGAGGTCACTGAGGTGCTGATCGACTGGATCCGCGAGGCTCGTCTCCGGCTCAGGAAGAGCTTCGGCTCGGACTTTCCTGTTCTGCGTCTGCACTCGGACAGAGGCGGAGAGTTCTCCTCTGGCCTTCTGCGTGCCTACTGTCGTGCGCGAGGCATCCGCCAGTCCTTCACGCTTCCGGACTCACCACAGAAAAATGGGATTGCTGAGCGCCGCATTGGCATGGTCATGGATGTCGCTCGTACGTCCATGATGCATGCGGCTGCCCCCCATTTTCTGTGGCCGTTTGCGGTGAGGTACGCGGCGCATCAGCTCAACCTTCACCCCCGGGTCTCTCGGCCTGCGATGTCCCCAGCCTTGCTGTGGACAGGGAAGGTTGGCGATGCGTCTGCGTTCCGTGTCTGGGGATCTCGGGCGTTTGTCCGCGACTTGTCTGCGGACAAGCTGTCCCCTCGTGCTGCTCCCTGTGTCTTCCTTGGCTTCCCCACTAACGCCCCAGGGTGGCAGTTTTACCACCCCTCCTCTCGTCGTGTTCTGTCCTCCCAGGACGTCACGTTCGACGAGTCAGTCCCCTTCTACCGTCTCTTCCCCTACCGTACTCCTTCCCTCCCCCCTCCCCCGGACTTCCTTGTACCGGTTCCCCCCCCGGTAGACCCCCTCCCCCCTCAGGTTCCTGCCCCCTCAGGTGTGTCCCAGGTAGACGCCGTTGACCCGGTCGAGGTTACAGGTGACTCTGGTGCTGCTGCGGGTGCTGAGCCTGGGGGTGCTGACTCTGGGGGTGCTGTGCGCGGGGGTGCTGAGCCTGGGGGTGCTACTGCTGGGGGTACTGGGCCTGCGGGTGCTACTGCGGAGAGTGCGGAGCCTGGGGGTGCTGAGCAGGGGGGTGCTGTGCCTGGAGCTGCTGAGCCTGGGGGTGCTGCGTCTGGAGCTGCTGAGCCTGGGGTTTCTCCTGCTGCTGCGTCTCGCCGGGAGCCCCTCTCTCCACAGGAGCTGCGCAAGTGGTTCGCTCGCCGCTGGAGGCGTGCTGCTGAGTCTGGAGGTGCTGCTGGAGCTGGAGCTGGAGCTTCTTCGACCGTCGAGGGTGCGGGTGCTGCCGGTCCCGGAGCTACTGGACCTGCGGGTCCTCCTGGAGCTGGAGCTGCTGAGGGCGTTGGTGCTGAGCCTGCTGCTGTTGGTCCTGCCGCTGGAGGTGTGGGTGGCGCTGGTGCTGTCTCTGAGGGCGCTGGTGCTGTCCCTGCTGCGTCTGGAGCTGCTGAGCCTGGGGTTTCTCCTGCTGCTGCGTCTCGCCGGGAGCCCCTCTCTCCACAGGAGCTGCGCGAGTGGTACGCTCGCCGCCGGAGGCGTGCTGCTGAGTCTGGAGGTGCTGCTGGAGCTGGAGCTGGAGCTTCTTCGACCGTCGAGGGTGCGGGTGCTGCCGGTCCCGGAGCTGCTGGACCTGCGGGTCCTCCTGGAGCTGGAGGTACTGAGGGCGTTGGTGCTGAGCCTACTGCTGTTGGTCCTGCCGCTGGAGGTGTGGGTGGCGCTGGTGCTGTCGCTGAGGGTGCTGGTGCTGTCCCTGCTGAGTCTGGAGCTGCCGCGCGGCCTCGGCCGTACTTCGTTCCGCTCCTACAGCAGGTTCTTGGTCTTTCTCCTTCGGTAGAGTGTCCACAGCCTGTCCAGTCGCAGTCACTGTTGGAGCCTTCCTCTCCTCTGCCTGCTCCCTCTCCTTACACTGGTCCTACTGGAGGTCTTGCTGAGCGTCGTGAGCCTGCGTCTCGTCCCGCGTCGCCTGTTTGTGCTGCTCGCGCTAGTGGTCGCGGTTCGCGTCAGCGTCCTCCTCCTGTCCCTGGCACGCACCGGATGTCTCTGCGTCCGTCCACTGCTCCTCTGCGTGCCCCTTTGCCTTCGCCTCCTGAGTCCTCTCTTCCTGCGCTTGCCGACCCTGAGTCGGACTCTCTTCGCGCTGCCAGTCCTACTGTCACGCGTCTGCTTGCTACTGTCGTCACTGACCCCTCTTTTGAGTCCACTGCTGCGTCTGCTCTAGTCGCTGAGCTCGTTGACTTTGCTGCTCGCTGTCGTCTCGACTACGCTGCTGGTCTTGTTGCTGAGTCTGCGTCTGTCTGTCCTCCGTCCGTCGGGGGTGAGTGTGCTCTTGGCACGGACGTCCTAGAGGACAGACAGGAGGAGTTACAGTGTCTAGCGGCTGCTTCACCTCATCTCGCGTCTGTACTGCTTGCCCCTGAGGGAGACCCGGATGCACTAGACATCCCGACTCCGCGTTCTTACGCGGAGGCCGTAGAGGGTCCCTACTCCTCTCAGTGGCAGGCAGCTATGGATGCAGAGATGGCTTCCTGGAAGTCCACAGGCACCTACGTTGACGCAGTTCCCCCTCCTGGGGCGAACATCGTCAGTGGCATGTGGATCTTCCGGGTGAAGCGGCCGCCGGGCTCTCCACCTGTCTTCAAGGCGCGGTACGTTGCTCGTGGCTTCAGTCAGCGGCAGGGAGTTGACTACTTTCAGACCTTCTCTCCCACCCCGAAGATGACCACTCTTCGGGTGCTGCTGCACATAGCCGCTCAGCGCGACTACGAGCTTCACTCTCTCGACTTCAGCACTGCGTTCCTGCAGGGTAGTCTGCACGAGGAGATCTGGCTGCGCCGACCACCTGGCTTCACTGGGACTTTCCCTCCTGGCACCCAGTGGAGCCTCCGACGGCCAGTCTACGGTCTCCGCCAGGCACCGCGTGAGTGGCACGACACACTGAGGACTACGCTTGCGGCTCTTGGGTTTGCTCCTTCTACTGCTGACCCGTCGCTGTTTCTTCGCACCGACACTTCCCTGCCGCCGTTCTACATCCTCGTGTACGTCGACGACTTGGTCTTTGCCACAGCGGACACTGCTGGACTCGCCTACGTGAAGTCCGAGCTGCTGAAGAGACACACGTGCACAGACCTGGGTGAACTGCGCAGCTACCTTGGCTTGCAGATCACTCGGGACAGAGCACGCCGCACCATTACCTTGACTCAGTCACACATGGTGCAGCAGGTCCTTCAGCGCTTCGGCTTCACGTACTCCTCGCCTCAGGCCACTCCTCTGCCTACTCGCCACTCACTCTCAGCTCTGCCTTCGGATGAGTCCGTAGAGTCGAGTGGTCCGTATGCAGAGCTTGTTGGCTGCCTCATGTACCTGATGACCTGCACACGACCTGACCTTGCATATCCTCTGAGCATTCTTGCACGCTATGTTGCTCCTGGGAGACACAGACCAGAGCACATGGCTGCAGCGAAGAGGGTATTGCGCTACCTGTGCAGTACGTCGGGCATGGGGCTTGTGCTTGGAGGGCGGAGTCCAGTGGTCCTTACCGGCCACGCGGACGCTTCTTGGGCTGACGACCAGGCTACGCAGCGGTCGTCACAGGGTTACACCTTCAGCCTTGGTTCCGGCTCTGTCTCGTGGCGGTCTACTCGCTCGTCTTCGGTTCTCGGCTCCAATTGTGAGGCTGAGATCTACGCCGGGGCCATGGCTGCACAGGAGCTTCGCTGGCTCACCTACCTGCTGACTGACCTTGGAGAGCCGCCTCGTTCTCCTCCAGTGCTGTACGTAGACAACAAGGCCATGCTGGCCTTGTGTCGAGAGCAGCGCTTGGAGCACAGAACGAAGCACATTGCTCTCCGCTACTTCCTTGCTCGTGAGCTGCAGCAGCGTGGTCAGTTGCGACTTGCGTACGTGGCCTCTGAGGCCAACACTGCTGATGTGTTCACCAAGGCACTCGCGCCTTGTGACCATCAGCGCTTTTGCACCCAGCTGGGTCTTGTGCCTGTCTTGCCTCACTTGCTCTCCTCTTGACTTCACTTGTACTGTGACATATATATATACCTGCTCTTGCTTGTCTAGTTTTATATATATGTCTGTACTCCTGCATGTGAACTGGCCTCTGGCCCTGCTCTTGTGCTCGGACTGTGTGGTGACTTTGTGATCCACCCTGAGCTTGCTTTGCTTTGCTTGACTGGTCTTGTGACCCCTTGTTCTCCCCCACTTTGCCTATGGGGGTGTGTCAAACATTATATATGTTATGCTTGTGTAGGCTACAGTGGGTTAGCCTATAGGGGGTACACAATTCTAGGGTTTCCCACTTGTACTCATTTCACTGCTAGTTCATTCATTCCTGTTCGCTTATTTTCACAGTTGCAACCTGTGTGGATTAATCTATTCTGTTGAAGATAATCACTTAGTGATTGCTCTTGCCTTATCCATTGCGGTGGTAAGGATATTTTGCAACAGAATTGTCTTTCACACTGCTGTGGTTGTAAGATCTATTGAAGAAATTTCTCCTTTAGAGAAAATCTTGGTTATTCACTACGATGATAACAATTTGCAATAGATCTGTAACTCTTTTTATAATACAGTGACTTTGCTCTAAATGGCTTCTACCAACTCCTATGCTGGTGGTGTTGAAGGCAACAACTCCCATGCTGAACTGGAAGCTTGTGTGCAAAAGATTGACCTGAACAACATGGATGAGGAAATGGTTGAAAAAGAGCCTGCTGTTAACTCCCCTGCTAAGGACCCTCCAGCTGCTGAAAATTCCAAGGAGCAGGAAGAGGAGTCTCAGGAGGATGACATTGAGTTGGAAGGGGAGGAGGACATTCTGCATGCTGAAATTGCTTAGCTCAGGATCATGCTGCTGAGCAGGATACGCGCATCCAGCAGCAGCAGTCACTCATTACCAACCTCAACAGGGAGCTCTCTGACCAGGACAACGAAATCAAGTACCTGAAAGTTGAGCTCAAGAACATGAAGCACGACGCACGGGAGCACGTTCATCAACTGGCGAGGCAGACCTCAAAGATCAACGAGCTGCGTGAGGATTTCAGTGCCTTCCGGAGGGAGACCATGTATCGCCCTGCACCACGAGTGGACTCGCCTGCCAACTCTGCTAGCGGTCGCACCAACCCTTCTCGCTCTGGTGGTGTGGCGGGTGACCCCGGACCTTCTACGCAGCGTGCTACTAAGCCGAACACGCAGGCTTTTGGCTCTCTGCCAATCACTCTGCCGCCATTCATCCATGGCAAGACGGACGTGGCTGTGTTGTTGTCGATAATGACCGACCTGTTCAAGGCGCACAAGGTCCAAGACGACGCTCGCGTCGTCGCTGCCACCACCGTGCTGGACCAGAATGCACAGCGAGTGGTGTATGGCAGCAAGATCCAGGCTGAGGCGGATAGGAAGCCGTTTGGGTGGGAGGAATTTGCATCTGCACTCAAGAAAGCTTTCCAGGTCCAGCCAACCCAACTGGAGGTGCGCAGCCGCCTTGAGAACCTGCAGTGCGGGAACCGCACAGTGCAACAGTAAGCTATGGAGTTCGAGGAGATCTGGGTGCTGCAGAAACCGGCAGAACGCATGAGAAGATCCACTTGTTCTTCAGGGGGCTGCCTGAACATCTCCAGAGCATGCACATGTCTGATGGGGCTGGGGAGGCATGGAGGTCCTACGACCACGTGAAGCGCGTGGTGGGGACCACTGATAAGCATTTCCGTGCTTATGCGAAAATCACCACCCAGCCGCAGCAGGCCCCAAGGCCGTCGTCTAGCCTTGTAGGTCCAAGTGGAAGGCAACAGGGAACGCCTTGGAAGGGCAGGAACCACAAGAGACCCTTTCAGCAGGGGCACCAGGCTGACCACAAGGCCAAGAAGGTCAACGAGGGTGGACCAAGCAATGTCCAGAGCTGCTTCAAGTGCGGCAAGCCTGGACACAAGGGCTATGAGTGTCAAATTGTAATGTTGTGTAGGCTGTAGTGGGGTAGCCTATATGGGGTACACAATGCTAGGGTTGCATACTTGTATCACTTTCATTCCTTAGTCATCCATTCTCGTTTCTTCTCATGGTATCGAGCAGGTTCCCTCGTGGGAACTGTTCCTAGGGCCCACCAAGTCGAAATATTTTTTTTCCTGCCCGGAGCGCACTTCGCTTAGGCCCGAGTCGCGCCTCGTGTGCCCTCTCTACCGTCGCGCCCGTCCTAGGCCTCCTTCGGCCCCGTCGCGTCGCCCCTAGCGGCCTCCCTCGCGCCGCCCTTACTCGGCCCGTCGCCGCCCTTCGCGGCCTGACGCCGCCCTACGCGGCCCGTTGCCACCCTAAGCGGCCCGTCGCCGCCCTTGCGCCGCCCGTAACGGCAAGCCGCCGACCTCCGCGGCCCCTTGCGCCGCCCTCACCCGCGGCCCTGCCACCTACCTGCGGGCGCGCCACCCTACCAGCGGCCCCGCCACCCTTACCTGCGGCCCCGCCGCCCTTACCTGCGGCCCCGCCGCCCTTCGCTGCGGCCCCGCCACCTTACTTGCTGCCCCGCCGCCCTTACCTGCGGCCCCGCCGCCCTTACCTGCGGCCCCGTCGCCTGCTGCTGCGGCCCCGCAACCTTACCTGCGGCCCCGCCGCCCTTACCTGCGGCCCTGCCACCTTACCTGCGGCCCCGCCACCTTACCTGCGGCCCCGCCGCCCTTCGATGCGGCCCCGCCACCTTACCTGCGGCCCCACCACCTTACCTGCGGCCCCGCCGCCCTTACCTGCGGCCCCGTCGCCTGCTGCAGCGCCGCCCGCCACCCGAGCTGCCCCAGCCGCCATACCCAGCCGAGCAGCCTACCGCCGCGCCGCCCTGCAGCCGAACCGCCGAGCAGCCCAGCTGCCCAGCAGCCGAGCTGCAGAGCCACCCAGCCGCCGAGCCGCCCAGAAGCCGAGCCGCCCACCAGCCGAGCCACCCAGCAGCCGAGCAACCCAGCAGCCAAGCCGCCCAGCAGCCGAGCCGCCCAGCAGCCGAGCCGCCTAGCAGCCGAGCCGCCTAGTAGCCGAGCCGCCCGCACCACCGAGCCGCTCAAGCCGCCCTGTCCGCTAAGAGCAGCGCCTCTTTCTCCGCACTGCCCTTACCCTACTGTTCGCGCTGCTAGTCTACTTCTGTCATGGCTACCCCTAGTGTCCTCGCTTTTGACGCTGAGGGTAGGGCCATTGACATTGACATCTGGAGAGATGACCTGCAGCTTTTCTTACAGTGCGATAGGGCAGACAGACTCTCTCTCTTTGACCTCACCTCTGGTGCCTCTCCTGCCCCTGCTGCTGATGCTGACGCCACTGTTCGCTCACAGTGGGCCACGCGCGATACTGCTGCACGTCTTGGTGTGCGTCGCCACCTTCCTACCTCTGAGCGTGCGCACTTTAGCCAGTACAAGAGTGCTCAGAACTTGTACGACGCTGTAGTTGCACGCTACTCCTCCCCTACCACTACTGCACTGAGCCGCCTCATGCTACCGTACCTCTTCCCTGACCTTGCTGCCTTTCCCACAGTCGCTGACCTCATTACGCACCTCCGCACTAGTGACACTCGCTACCGCGCTGCGCTTCCTGCTGAGTTCTGCGCCAAGAACCCACCCCCCCATGTACATCACTCTCTACTACATAGTCACCCGCCTCCCTGACTCCCTTCTGTTGGTGTAAGGGCCTAATAAACTCAAGGTATTAAGACTTTATCACACTTAAAACCTCTCCTCGGGGTCACCTCCTCGGGTCCGAGTTTGTAGAGAGAGGGATCAAGAGGGACTTAGTCAAAACAGCAAGAGTACCTTGAACGTCGCGCAGCGTATCGTGCAGACCGTCGATCGGATTAAGCTGAGAATTTCCTATATCGAAGCTCACTCTAAGAGCTTTAAAATAAGCCAAGTTGCCTCGCGAAAAGTTCTGCCATTACGAAGTTATGGCTCGGACAGCGTTAGCCTAGCGTTGGAGTGCTAGCGTACTAGCGTTGACTCGGGTAGCATTCCGCCGTCGCACCGCGTAGAAAGGAAATTCCAGCAAGGAAGGAATTCGCTTGAATCAATTTCACTGTATTCAGGTACAAACAGAGAAGGAATAAATAGCTCTAGCTAGCAAGGACCTTGGGAATCAACCTGGGAACAACCACGGATGATCCCAAATAATTCCAAGCAACAGAACCAACCTGGCTGGACAAAATAGCAGGTGGTAGGTTGGTGAACAACCTCTGGTTCTGTTTTTCCAACCTGGGAAAACAACAACCAGGTTCAGGTCCTAAAAACAGAACCTGTTTTGTCTTTGCCCAACCAGCCAAATGCTGGTTCCGCTGGTTTCCCCTGGCCCTGTAGCATGCAGATACAGACAAACAACATCCAACCTTCACCTAAATTGTACCCCTATAGTGCCTGCCCTGCTACACTATAGTCAACCAAACAAAACAGTACAATTTCGAGTTGGATAGAACTGAATCTGCGCAATCAAGTAAGCCGAACCACAAAGCTTCCATCTTGGGTTCCTTTGCGAGCTCCTCCTTTCTGCTTGTACTGTTCATAGCGCGTACAATGTTATGCCGAAGCGCACATTGTGCGAGTACCTGCAAATGCTTCAAGCGAAAATTGCGAAAGCAAACAAACACACGAACATACCATTCACACGCAAATGCATTCGCATACGCATACTCGTACGAACAGACCGCAGGATGTCGTGCAATGTGAATTTTGCACCCAACACACTCCCCCTCAGCCTGCCGGCTGCATCCCCATCATTCCATACTAGTTCATGCTCATTCCACTCATGCGCACACAACGCCAATGAGGTTCATCCGCAAGCCTCTTGGTGAGGAAGTCTGCTGGCTGCTGGTGAGTCTTGATGTAGATCGGTTTCACCGTCCCCCTCTTCACCTCCTTACGCAGCCAGTGCCATTTGATACGCATGTGCTTATTAAGCCCATGAAGCACAGCGTTCCTGGCCATCCCAAGAGCTCCCTTGCTATCACAAAACAGCGGCGTAGCAACCTTTTGCTCCTGGCCAATCTCCTCCAACAGCCTCCTCAGCCAAATCACCTCCTTCACCCCATGAAACATTGCCATGTACTCTAACTCCACGGAAGAGAGTGCTGTCTCCGTCTGCTTCTTTGACCTCCAACTTACCGGTCCTCCCCCAACTACACAGATGTATCCTCCCACAGATGAGGAATCCTCCTTCTCAGAGGCCCACGTAGCATCGGTAAAGCAAGTGAGAAAAAGCTTGCCTTCTCCAAGCCTCTCCCCCTTCTCTTTCAGCACCTCAAACCCTTTTCTGCTTCACCTGTGCAGATGCGGAGTATTGAACTCCAATGCTTGGGTGAGAGTTCAGATACTTCACCACACGCTCAGCTGCATCCACCTGCTCCTCTGATGGATTCTGCACCACCCTAGCCAGCTGCCCAACCGAGAAAGAGATGTCGGGCCTCGTGTGAACTGCTGCATACAAGAGGCTGCCCACCAAGGACTGAAATTGCTGCTGCTCCTCGGCTTCAACCCCTTCATCCTCTGCAGCTTTCACAAGCTTGAATTCTGCTGGCAGGGGAGTTGCAACCTTGCGCTCATTCTCAATTCCGTACTTCTCCCCAAGCTCCTTGATGAACTTCTCCTGGTGCAGCTTCAACCACCTGTGATCCAGATCCCTCTCCACGTGCATCCCTAGGTAGTACTTTACCTCCCCAAGGTTCTTGCACTTGAAGTTCTCCATCAGCTGCTGCTGCACCTTCTGGATCTCCTCCATGCTGCTGCTAAAGAGAAGAATGTCGTCCACATAGACCAGAAACAGCACCAGCTTCTCCCCCTCCCCCTTGAGAAAGAGGCTCTCATCACAGCTGCTGGTCATGAATCCCATCTCCTCTAAAACAGCTGCCAACTTCTGGTACCAGCAGCGTGGCGCCTGCTTCAAGCCGTAGATGGACTTTTTCAGCTTGCACACCCTGCCCGTACCATCCTCATACCCAGGTGGCTGCGTCATGTACACATCCTCCTCTAAAACCCCATTGAGGAATGCCGTTGATATGTCCATCTGGATAATGAACTTCCCACTAACGGCTGCATCTGCCAACAAGACACGAAGGGTAGGGGGTTTGGCAGTGGGAGCAAAGATCTCATTGAAGTCCCGCTTCTCCTTCTGCATAAACCCCTTAGCCACCAACCTACTCTTGTAGATGGTGACCTGCCCTTTGTCGTCAGTCTTGATCCTTAGCACCCACTTGCATTGTACCGCTTTCTTTCCCTCAGGCAGCACCACTAGTTCCCAAGTCCCATTCTCCAGCAGGCTCTGGTATTAAGCATCCCTAGAAGCTAGCCATTTGTCCCTATCCGGTCCAGCTAATGCCTCCTCCATGCTAGCTGGTTCCTCTGGTGCAGGGGCAAGAAAACAGTACGCAGGCTCATCCTCCTCATCCGGGTCATAGCCATGCGGTAGAATCAGCAATGCCTCCTCGGTCCCAAGCTGCTGCTCAGCTACATCAGCTCCTGCAGTCAGCTTCTTAGTAGCCATACGGGTACGTCCTGGCCTGGAGACGGGTGTCTCCC